CCACCACCACCACCACCACCACCACCACCACCACCACCACCACTGTTTACCCTTGCCCCCGAACACCCTCCCAATACACAAAACGTGGAAACTCAATCAATTATTGCACGTTTCCTGAAAAGGTTGCCAATTGTCATCTCACACATGTTTTTTCCTCCTCTCTAGTTCACACAGAATGAAGCTTTTTGTTTGAATCAATTATGGGGTGACAAGAAGTTCATTTATCTCAAATGACTTCTGTCAGTCGCATTCGGATTTTTCACAGAATGAAATTTTGTCTGGGTTGGGTTGTGTCTTCTTTTGTTCTCAAATTGACTGAGAGAAGAAATGTTTCGCCCGATGGAAAACGAGCGAGCGAGCGGAGAGGGGGTGAAAGGGATTTTGGAAATTGCGGTGTTTTATCTCTGGCCCGTCTCTGTTCCTAGTCTCTTTTTGTCCTTTTCCAATATGACATTTGAAGTTAAATAACGTGAACAAATTTATGGTTGACTTGCGTGTGTTGATTAAGACGGGATGGGTTGTCTAGATAGTCTTCGCCAAAGGGTAAATAAACTTTTCAAGATAAAACGGTGATTTTGTGAGTCACGAAAAAGGAGTACAGTGAGATACCTTATCCACAGCTGTTTCTCCATTCCATCTGTCCAATACGTACAGAAAAGGTGCTTGGTATATTTGACTCTCTATATTTGCAAACTATCTCAGAATACAACCAGGTGTGCGGCATTCGTGAAAACTACTCGTGGAACAAATTGACTGTTCAAGTTCATTGTGAAAGTGTTCAACAATACTGGTGTTCTTCTCATGTGGTTTGTCACAAATGTAAATTGAAACGAACGGATCTTGATTACTTGTGCCGTTGAAGCCCTTGTACACTTGTATTTTGATCATGTGGTACTATTTTTGGTACTGTACAGGTATTGACCGAACTCGTGCAACATCCTGATGTTGATCACATTTGTTCCTCTCAACGCCTGGTTTTTCCAGGCTCATTTACGGGATTGAACATGACGTTGCCCCACATCAGTGGCAGCATATCTGATATAATGTCTTTATTTCATTATAGATTGTATTTAATATAATATATATACAAGGTATAATATATTTTATTAGCCACGAGGCCACTGAAAGGTACGATTTCGTGATTTTGGCGATGGTTGCTGGTGCGTCAGTTGTATAATAATAACAAATAAACGTAACTAGAATTTATTGATTAAAATGACTCACAGACTTCGCACAGGTAGCGTACTTTCATCTCGTCCATGTTCCATTTGCCCTTCTTCGCTTTTGAGTACTGGCGGCAGTCGCTTTAGTATGAAGTCCACCAGGTTGACTGCCAAAAAGAATTTGCCAGTTTCCTCCACTACAACCCGCACGCACCCTTACCATTGACGACCAAAGTCTGTCTTGGATACCATTGAGGGGAGTATATTTAATCCGTTTTAAATGTCTAATCGATACCACTATTAAAATGTTTTTGGCATTTCACTGTCTATTTCATCGAAAATGGATTTTGGTGCATGATTTGTATCAAGTATCTGAATAATGTGAAGAGATCATCTAGGATTGCCCCATTTACCTGTGGTGAATTCCGGAAAAGATTGACTCATAATTGTGAAGGCAAATCCTCGAATGAGCGAGAGCAGATAGACAGAATGAGTTAGTAAGAGCAGTTTGAGCCATAAAGCGTATAGACGGAGTGAAACATCCTGAACTCCTGCCTGGTTGTTAATTGTGTGTGTGTGTGTGTGTAGGTAATACACCAGTGAGGTACCAGGTTCAATTCGAGGTTGAATTGGACGGTACTATCAATCTGTTTAGGTCACCTCGTTTATGATTTATGCACAACGTAATTCATATTATAACTGAGATAGAACCCTGCTACTTCCTTGGAATCTTCAAATAGTTCTAATAGTTCTTTCTAGGGTACTTCTACTGACCAATAAAAGGTATAGATATATATCGCTGTAAATTAGTCCGAAATATGTGTGCTGTTTAAAGAATACCAAAAGTTGTCTAACCCGGTCAGGAAAGTTCCTAATATTGCTTGACACTCCTGTACCGACCCAGGGTTGTTTTATTTAAATCTATTTCTGAGATCCACTGGAACAGTGCCAGCAGCAATTTTCAGCACATTAATAACGAACCAAAGAGCGAGACCGATTGATCGATCGTGCAACGCGCAACAACTACAAATGACATTGATGGATCGCTAAGTGTATGGTTGAATGCCCGGATGTGCTCAAACGGTTATGAATCACCCGATTCCACACCCGAATTTTCAGCTGCACTGAACCGCATCAAAAATGCCTGTTTCGATTTTCATCTACTAGTCGCGTACGAACCGTTATCGCATTTGGTGTTAATGTAATTAATATTCAAATAGAACAATTTCGATACCTATGAGACTGCAAAAATCAGTTTTTACAAACTTTCTCTATTGGCGTTTATCAAACATTCAAGCGACTAAAAGATACTGTTTATCATTGTAGTTTGCATAATTTCATGATGATGATGATGATGATGATGATGATGATGATGGTATCATCATCATGATCATCGCCATCTATGGTATGATTATTAATATAGTACTGGCCGGCTGTGATGCACTAAAATATTTTCTCTATGATCAAATTGAGTTCCACTATATTTATCACCTATATTATTGGTTCCGGTATGGACACTAATTTAAATCTTGTCTACTTTTATCACGTAGTTTCTAAGCCGCATGAGAGACAATTAAACGTGCTTGATCTTGGCTGCCAAGATTATATCAGCTCAACCTGAAAATCGTAAACCTTATCAGGTATGAAAACGTAATATTTTCTGATAGGAATGATTCAAGAATTATCCGAAATTATTTCCGTAAACCCTTGCCATCTCAGTTGTTTGTTATGAAGGATTATTTCATCAAAAATAGAAAATGACTTCATAACAAAATTGGTAGATTCAATGCCGAAGAGACTCGAAAAGTCCTAATGAATAAAGGCAGATCAATCTGCTATTGGTGTACGCAAACTTTACATCTTAATTATTATCAATCTTAATTTGTTCTAAATAATGACTGTTCCATTCTCTTTAACGACCTCTTAACTCAGCATGGTCTAGGCCAAACAGTACTGATGAAATTGGAGCAATTGCTACATTCTGAAACATTCCATCTGCTGAGTATGAGCGAATCAGCAAAATCACTGCTATAAAGACTCACCAAGGCCTGTTTATCATTATTTGGAAAAAGTTTATTTCAGTATAAATGCTGTTGCCTATACGAAACAACAAGTGCTTTTTAGGGACCCGTTGCTTCAATTTCAATTAGACCTGTATCTTCGCTATTATGACATTTCTAAGGCCAAATTATTGAAATCATTTAAAGACGACTATAGTCCATTTGACCGATGACCGACAATGTTCGTATCGATTCTATGCACATTCAATGTAGCTCCGGAAAATATCGTAACTTTTTTATCGGTGATCACGAAATTTGCCTTAGGAGCCACAGTAAATTTTTTCCACATTTCATAAAATAGATATTTGTATGCTTTGGTAATATGTTTAGTTCAACCGGTAAACCTGTCCTTGGAAAAACGCATATCCAGTAGCCTAGACAAAACGTCGATAAACAAACAATTTTGTGATAAATTTGAGCACGTCGTTCAAACAACAGCATTCAGATTCTTTGAGTGTAAAACGGCAAGTTGATTCGTTGGGAACAACTCAGCTTAGGGGCGGTTTAATTTTGTCAGAGAAAANAAAAGGTAGATCCATAAGCTGAAATTCGACATGTAAAGAGTCAATGAACTGGGAACTGTAAATATGAGAGCTTTTTCTATTTCACGGAAGATTCCCATAGGAATATCAAAAGCCAAACAATACAGTGAACAAGCTTATTTTCGTAACTTCGTCTTCAGGCCTTTATAGTTATGTGTGCGTATTTATATGGAATGTAGAAATAAATGTGATTGGACCTTAGAGGTTAAGTGTGAAAATGCAACAATGTAGTTTAATCAGAACGAGTGAATAAAATGGGGGCAGTGGGCGAAGGGGAGGGAGGCGGACAAAGGTCAATTCTGGAATTATTTTGGTGACCTTTATTCACGGGCCATTTATCACGCCATGTTGCGTCATCACGACAGGACTAAGGTCATGGTTCGGGTCATCACGTAGGTTTGGTTGGGACCAACGCAGCTGAAGTGCGGCAACCATCTTCTCCTGTTTGCACAGTGGTGGGTTCATGATCTTGATTGCTACAGCTTCCGATGTTACCAAGTGACGTTTCCGAACTTGATATTTTTTTTGCGGTGGGGGGGTATTTTGTAGATGAGTTTCAATGCATCACAAGCTTGTTCGCTTTATTGTTTGGCTTTTTCAATTATTTTGGTCTCACCAGCACAGTGAGCGAATCCATCGACCCTTAAATGCGATAGAACTGGGAATCTCAGAGGTAGAATGCAAGCATAATAGTCACTCGGACATCAGGCGGCTCTTTCATACCGTTTTTTATTTTCCTTAAACAATATAGCACAAATGATCTTCGCGAACTTACTGCGGTCACCGCAAACGGTTGGATCCGGTGACTGATGGCTGATGGGGTAGTATGCTTGGGTTTTGCATGTGGGGTCCCCGGTTCGATCCCCAGATTGGCCGATGGACCCGCACTGCAAATGTAAACCAACCAGGTCAAAACAGCTGTCCGTTGTTTACTAGCTTTTCATGTCAGATTGGGTTAGCTTTTTACAAGACGAACTTCACCGTATAAACAAAAGTGCCTGCATTTCTCTCATGTAACAGGACAATCATCGTGAATTAAATCTTTTATTCATCTAGTTGTTATGCATTTATTGTCGAATTACTGCCATCTGTTTCGAGAGGGGAGTGGTAGATTAGGGGTCACATCCGTCAATGGTGAAACCAACGTAGCGGTCCCTTTGTTCTGTGTCCCATTGTGGTTAAAACAATGTGCATTTTGTGATAACCTCGCTTCACTGCCATTATTCACAAAATGTTTTCTGCAATTCCACTTCTTTCCAGTAGAATATACATGACATTTTGCTTCTGACTGATGGTGTGCTTCCCATTAATCATTTCTCATGCGTTTCAACTTGGTTGCTGAAATCAGTTCTCGTTCAAACGATTTATTTCTTTGCCTTTGTGGGAAATACCGTCAGAATCTGTTCTTATCTGTTCGGAAATGGACAATTTTCGTTTGCAATAATTGTTTCCGCAAATCATTATTTTCATTGTTGCGGAAATAGATTAGCCATTGTGGAAAAAATGCCAAAAAAGCTATTGCTACATATGTTCGATTCTAGTCATATATATCTGTTTCCTTTTGAAGTCATGAGCTCCGTTGTGTTTGTACAGAAATGAACTGCGTTTCCACATAAGCTGTTGGTCTGAGTTTTCGCTGATCTTGTGGAATAAACCTCGTTGGTGTTTTTACGAGGGATACTTGTGTGCTCAACTATATATGAAATAAGAATCCATTTCCGCATCTATAGATATCCGTTTAGTGAGCTTTATGAAAGATAGACTATTCTAATCGTTAACCGAAATTAGAGATGTGGCAGGTCTGCAGCTGTGTAAACGTGAAACAGTGACAAAACTAATCAATCAGTTTATGTCTCCAAATGAGCAAAATAGCGCGGTGATCTTTCTACACATGTGAGTTCGGGTCGACAAGCATGACTCAAAGAACAATATTTCTTGCGGTCATTTCAAGGGGAGAGATTGTGGTGGTTGGAGGGCGCGGGTGGAGAAAGAAAGGTGTCAAAGAAATCTTTCCCAGGGAATAACTGATTCGATAGTTGAACTGTGGTTTGGCGGATTCCAATGTTTTAGCCTAGGTAAAAGCCGAAAGTTCGGTCAAAAACTGTCCATAGGCCGTTGCGGTTGTTTAACAAGTCCCACAACATATGTCAAGAGGAACTAAGTTTAGATGATGGGGAAACTGCCAATCATCAATCAGCGTTCAAATCTCATGCGGACCAGTATGAGCAAAGAAAATTAATTCAAATACACGGATACCTGCAGGTTTGAAAAGCCCAATTGTTGTAAAGGAGGTCAACAATGAGGCAAACTTACTAGTAACAGTACGTAATTCACTCATCCACCTGATGGATCCGCACTGAAGCTGACCTGTTCACCTTCTCCTCGGCCCTCAGAGCTGACTGTTCCAAAACATTTTTCGACCGTTCTTGTTGTTTTGGTTTGCATAAACGTTTCCTCTGAAAAACTTTTAACTTGTCGAATCTGATCTGTCTGCTGTCCAAAATTATTGTCTTGTTGAAAACCATTACCATGTGTTGTCACAATGTCATTGGTAGTTCAAATGTTTTCCGAAGTGAAGTACTCCAGTGCATAATGAATTATCGATTGAGCCAGGTTTGTGTGGGAAAATAGGTACAGGGAAATTTAGGAGATACCTTTGGACGAAATGAAAACTGAAAGCTGTCCTTCGGAAGCTTGCAAAGTAGCTATTTGTTGGTAATCAGTCCACTCCGTGTTCACACTTTCTAATTTATACCGCAATCTGGAAAGCTGTGGGGTCTTTCAGTGGGAAACATTCAAACAATGATCACGCCAAAAACAGCCCTTTTTGATCTCCAACCATCCTTGTCTCATCCACTATTTTGTCTTCTTGCGAAAACTGAGATCTTTGTGTCTATTCAGTTTTTGAAAGGACAGTGAACTTGTTGTTTCGATTTGCGTAGCGATACTTCTATCCTCACTCCGCATTTGCTTCCAGATCAGCTGGGAACTCAAACACACCAAAATATTCTCACTGTCCGTTACCCTATCAACTTACAACAGAACGCTTACATGTAGACTGAGTGTCCGGTTGGAATCGTTTTACTATGATCAAAGATGGAAAAATGGAATCTGAGGGTTAACAAATTTGTCCATATCAGGCGGTAAAGTGCAAAAGTACTTATACAAATGGGTAAATAATAATATTATTAACATCATAGATTTGTAACCAGGATAATTAACATATTTATATCTCCTTATATTGAGTCTATCTTAGCTTAATTTGACTTCCTGCGGCTGATGAAATCAATCACCTTCGTAGTTTATAGCGAATTTCCACTATGCGACATTGAGTCCCAAGATGGTAACATACAATGCTTGATTATCACGGGCCTATTGCTCACAGTTGAAATATGCTTCCTTATTATATGATCTTGTCTCAACCTCTTATCAATCCATTCTGTCTCACGTCACACAGATGGACCACAGCTGATCGGTCCTCCGGTGATCAACATCACCGTGGCTGGTAGAAAAGCGCAACTCGAATGCCAAGCTAAAGCCAATCCGACACCGTCAGAGAATGCGGTCCGGTGGAGACGTATCTCACACTCATTTGCTCACCTGGATCCGGTGCACAGATTTTATCGCACGTCCAGTGGCAATGCGGTCACAACAAGCGAGTCTAGTGATCAACAGCAGCAACAACAACAATCCATTGCCGATTCGGTAACCGGGATTCGATGCAACAAGGTGTGCCGTTTTCTCTTCTCTCGTTCACTGTATTCATTGAGCTGCTTTCATATCTACGTTGGATGTGATTCGAACACATATACACTGTTAAATGTTTGAACTTGTGTTCGAATAGAAAAAAATCAATCAACAATCGTATTGAGCTCGATTAGTTAACAAATAAATCGTGCTATATTTTTCCCTGATGGAGAGAACAGGAAACAGGTTTTTCCGTCGAATGAATCCTCTTGTGGACGCTTATAATGCATCGGTTTGCTTAACCAGATTCGAGCGGGCGAGCACGTGTTCGGTTGGGCCGGGTGGAAGTGGGTTTGGCGAAATGGGGAAGTGGCATCAATCTTTAATTGTTCCACTCGCGAAGCACTTAACTCATGTTACCTAAATGAAACGGTTCAGCTAAAGGCTGGCTCCCTGCATGCTTGCCGCGTGCCTACTTGCCTGCCGTAGCAGGCGGCAATTCGAGGTCTATCTCTTCAGCGAGCAATTTAAATCACGTGTTTCTGGAAAGAGTTAATATGACAGAAGGGGATTGAGGTGCGATTGAATGCACAGATGTGTCTCTATGTGCGTGTGGTAACGCATCAAAGATGCTTGAGAAGCGATCAATTTGTGTACTGAGATCAGTAACGGTAGGTTAATTGTCACGACATGTGGCGTGGACATGATCGAATCTGTGTGGTGAAAAACGCGTCAATGAGTCAAATATTCAAATCGTAAATGGAAGCACATATCTGATATAAATAAACATGTACGCTTTTGTGGTAATCAGAATAGTACTGAATGTAGGAATACGAGAACCCGTAATGTACGGCTCAGAATTGGATTGGCTCCAACCCGAACTGCGGACACCAATGAAATACACGAGGAATTGATAGCAACACAATTTTATGTTTATTGATACAATTAGATCATGTTTTATAGAATGTAATAATCCATATGATTGGTTGAACGAGCGTCCTCCAGTCACGTAACCGTTTGTACCGACGCATCATATGTACTAACTCGGATGTCATGTTCGCCCGGTGTATCATTGGTCGAGCTTCCTAAACGATGATTGGATGATATAAAACTGTACCTGGTCGTACATGGATTGCGGTCACGGAAGTTTTTGGATCATCACAGTTTCATTATCATCATTATCCGGTTCATCTTCAACATTATCAATGTCATCATCATTAACAAATATGTTTGTAAAACTCTATCTATTTCTCATTGAACCTACAAGACAAGAAGTTACCTTTTTCTAGTGGAAAACACGGATTGCCGTGTTTTCTAACATAGCAATAGCAATCGAACAATTCCACGATCCCACTAGGAAACCGAAAATTCAACATACTACATTCCACACAGTTTTCGATGAAATAATCAGAATGCGAGTAGACACAGCCGCTGTGCAGTGTTCATTTTAGTTGCCATCACTCGAGTAGAAACAAAATACAGCGCATACATACACCTCAACCCCCCCCCCCCAAAAAAAAAAGAAACAGAGAAGAATTTGCACCAATTCAAGGAGAGTGTTATAAATAGGACAAAGATTTCGGTCGTTTGAGACTAACGTAGCCCAAAGCAGATTAGACCGAAACTCATCACAAAATACTGCCACCATACTCGGCCCGGAAGAAGAATCACTTTCTTTTGGCGGTCAGTTCAGCTAACAGATGAATGAACACTGTCATGGCGTTCTAGGACCGTATTGTGGTACAGTCTCTGCGAACGCAACGTCCCGTCAAAGCGGAAAAACGGCAGTAAGACAAGGTGGTCATTGAACACAAATGGTGCCTGATTTCGGGATAAAGTTCAGTGTGCCAATGAAATGACCTCCCATCAATGGTACCGTAGTCAGCTAAAAATGTTTTCACTTTTAAGAATTGCAACAGAATGCCCCCAGTAATATGATCACGATAAGGTCCCCTATCAAGGTAAACCCTTACTGAGTAGTTATATGGTTCCCGAATACAATTATATATTCCCGCACAAAATGTTGGTGGTACGTGACGCCTACTTTCAGACAACTATTCCAAAATAGCATTCGATCCGAGCATGATTGAAATGTCCTGGTGCTTATGCAGACGACACTAAATAAGTGAAATACCCAAGGCAAAATAAGAAACCGCATATTTGAAGCAACAAAAAAATACAATTAAAAGTACACTGATAATGATGGAATCTTAGTGTCTAAAATAACTGCGATTTCTGTCAGCCAAAAAGAGGATCGGATAGGTTGCTGACCTTTAGTTTCCTAACAGTTTGTTGTACACATTTTTCCAGAAACCTTTCTCAAGTTTTGTGTTTTCAGAGGCATTGGGAATCTCTGTGACGAAAGACAAAGAGCACTGAACATCCGTTTATTCTCGTTTAGGACCTGTCAGTAGTGCGTACATTTTGTGGTTCTTACGAGACTCGCACCATGAACCTTCGGGTTGGGAGTTGAAACCCCTAGTCCTGAGTTACACTGCTGTCGATCAAGACCCTGAACAAATGGCTGAATCATTTTAGAATATCTTGGTTGGTTGAAAGAGTAGATTTCCCTATTTATGGGATCATTACTTTCCAATCAGTCAAATGGACATTTAATACAGTTGATATAACTGACGGGGGATTATCGAAGAGTGAGGAGTAGGATCCACTCCCAGGACCCTCAACAGGGCCTGGTGCCTGCACCCAATCTAATGGGTCACTCCAAGCATCATATTCTACATATTCTGCTTCTTTTATTTTCACTCATGACTATTTTCTAAAATGGCCTATATCAGGGGTTAGACGGAGATACTCAACCATCTATTGCTATTATTGAAACCGGAAAATAAACACTAGCACCCAACGACAGACAACTGAAGATCGCCCGTCTTTGGCAACCGTCTACAATGAAGCTTCCAAAACAGGAAGAATCATTTGATGACGGAAACCATTAGTGTACATCTGTCAAGATAATACCAATTTGCACCAAATAAACTGATTCAAACACTCGGAATTTCGTGGTCGAGAACTGACTGAGCATGATGATCATACTGATCAGCTTTTAGTCACTCATGTCAAGGATTGCGCGAAATGTAACCGTCAAGTAGCTGATGTCCCCATGTTTCACACACTTCATTCTCGGAACCTCAAACCAACTGAATCGTGGATGTGCCCACAGTGAAGAATCCCCCACTCACTAAGTTGTTTTCCATCTTCAAAATGAAGGTTTGCTTAAATTTCTCGATAAATTCGTTTTGTGACTTGTTTGGTTTAAAATTGTGTGATCCCGCCGAACCGCAACTCCCAAATTAACCATTACGTTCATACACACACATGCACATCCGCACTCGCAGGGCACATGGCACAATGGATTCAAATATTTCGCCAAATGCTGGAATCCCAGTCCCGGAGTGTTGGCCAGCTCGTTGACCATATACGATTTGGGCCCAAGCGATGTGGGCCGGTACCAGTGTCATATGGACAACGCGATCGGATCTCCGGCTGTGCGCTTTGTGGATTTGATCTATCCATGTGAGTTATCACCTTGCTGTCTGGAAACCTATCTCTCTCGCTCCCTCTCCCTCTCTCGCTCTCTCGTCGTCCAAACAGGAAAGATAAAACGCGGGAAGGGGCGGAGAATGGAGGGGCTTAGACAGGCGTCAAAAGTTCTCCGGTGAACTGTAGCATTCCATCAGTTCCATCAAAAGCAGAGTAGTATGGTGCTTACCTGCTAGTATCGCAGTTGGAGAATAACATCCTGTGTGAATGGAGACTTCGGGGACTATTGGCGGGNAAAGAAAACCGCGTGTGACTGGTGTCGGTATCCCGACCGAAAACGTAGTATAGATTGGACGTTAATTAACTACCAAGGTAGGTACGTGTGGAAAGGTTGTCGATCTTACGTTTCTCAAAACAGGATAAACAGCGTACGTCCGGGTCTAACTCGGTCAACTATCCGATATAAGAGAGCAATTTATACGCAACTTACCGAGGATGGCTTACTCGCATCATTCAGTGTGCTTACTTCTCAAGCCTCTTGGATAAGTTACTTCATAACTGTTAAAATTCCTGCACACACGGTGACACACGATTATCATCATCACTTCGATGCACAGTGGTCCTGAACTAGTATCTCAATGCCGCTGAGCTAAGTTTATCTTTTTGTGCTACCTGAAATGTTTCCAGCCTATGTGCTCCTATAATGAGTGAAAGTTATCATCTGATGAAAAAAGAACTGAACAGAGTACCATAATTATTGTCACGTAACTCTAAACGACAGGAAAACTCTGGAAGTAAGTAACGTCGTTTTTCTCATTCAGAGGTTTGCTGTCAGCAGACAACCCACGTCGCTATTCAGAAAAGCAAATATTATATGTTTCAAGTAGATTCCTGTGTGAATTTCTGTGAAAATCTTTTGAAATTGAGCTCATCTGTTTTTGACTGAGTCGAGGTACAGACATTTCATTACTTCCACTCGCGAAGCCAAAACCGGGTAAGTGGAACAATCCGGAAGTCCGGATGCCAGCGGTCAATCATGTCTTGGTCGAACTCATTCTGGAGGTCAAATATGAGAAGTGTTTCCGAGTTGTTTGCAAACTAAACAGTCTGCATGACGAGGGGCATGTTCGATGAAGTCTTGCTTCTACCGGATAACATGCGTGACCTCTGTTGAACTTAGGTTGTACAGCGGTCGGGAGTGACACAATTGACAGATTTAGCATAGTTTATCCAGATATTTTATTGCATAAACTCTATCTAGTCATGCGGATGATCGAGTGTATCACAACACTCTCCTGGAGTTGAAACCAAAACCTTCCAGTTATCGACATTCCTCGGACTCTCGAAATCAGAGCAGTTCCAGTTGTCCACACCCCTACCCCCTTTTTGTGATACCAAAGGTTACTTTTCTGGGTCTTTGTGTTTGTGTTTCTTATGTTCTGGTTCAGGCAAATAGGCAGAGTTTGAATTGATTAAAGAAACCACAATCATCATCCAGACTGAGCTGAAAATGTACGAATAAAGACCAATAATGCAACACGGACTGGTAGGCAAACTTTCCTTACCCGGGTCTTTCTATCATAACATAAGAATGCATTTTCACGCACGTACACACACACACACACAAATATTGTTGTCTGAAACCGAAATTGCTCCGTCCCGTGGAGGAAACAAGGTGGGTAAACAGTACCCTGGATGGAGAACACATTGTGTAAACAGCCCCCGAAGATGCGCTACACGACGGTGCATGCACGCACGCACGCACATACACACAGGTAAAAACATGAACACGCTCTTACATGCAAACCGAATTTGCGATCTTCGCAAAAACAGCTCCTGATTTTCCCGATTCATGTCACATCAGTCGACATGAATTCAAAAAAGGGAATAGAGAACAGACGAACAGGTTCTTTTTACCACAAAACGGTTTCGTTCCCTGTTTTGCCTCATGTGTTGGATGTACAGTGAAAGATTCCTGCTCACACAGCTCCAGCTACGCATGATACGTTTGTCCACATGTATACGTCAAAAAGAATTTTGAAACCACAGACAGACTGTTGAGTTCATGGGTGAAATATCCAAAGTGGGTTAGTCATAACAGATCGATTTGTCTGTAGAAGTGTTGGCCACAACCGAAGTGTGTATACGATGCTACTATTCAAAACACAGAAGATTACGTCGTGCGTAGACCAAATGAATCGTGAACCGAAAAGCCGGGGAACACTGCACATCTGTTCCGATCTGGTTGGGTGCCAAACCAGCAGTACAAATCCATTGACAGAACTGAAGATCGAACCCGGGATCTCACAGACATGCATACTTCTTACTCGGTCACCGGGTTGTCATTTACCATCAGAAATGATGTGTCGTACTTAAACCAGAGCTCTGATACATACTGTATTCCCGTTTAATTTTCCTGCCCCTCTCTCAAAGCGCAGATATCCAACCGAGGGAACCATGGGTGTTAAATCAGGATTTAACTTACTACCGATAGAAATAATAGCAATGGTTACATTGGAAAAAGTCAACGATGCCTTCGTCTTTCATTCAGTTGAAGTCTAATATAAGTAGAGAATGTTCCAATTGGGAAAACTTCCGTAGCCTCGGCCGGCTTTGAACGCGTTTTGTCCAAACTCCTTTTATAACCGAATGCATGGTTAATGGCTCTAAAAAATGAAGCCGAACATGAATTTACTAATTATCATCAGTGCACGAATAAACGTTTTCTAGAGCTATTCCGCTCAATAAAAATTGTTGCTTTGGAACAAATATTACCCTAGAGTAAACCGACAGTGATCGCATGGTTATGCTTATCAACCTAGTAATGTGGAGGTCCCGATTTCGAATCCCGTCACAGCAGTCTATTTTTTTTCATTTTTGTCATTCCATAGAGAGTAATTGTTTGAACACTGCTCGCTTCATAAAGGTTTGCTGTATATTTGTATACACAATAAAGAAAGAAGGAAAATAATATTTATATATTTTGTTCAATAAAAACGGTCATTTATCATCAAATCGAACTTGATCTTACTACTTCATTCATTCCCTGGACATCATCTCGAAATTCAGTTACACTCAAAAACTGTGGTTGTTTTAAAACTCAAGAGATCCTCTCCTTCATCTTCACCTTGTGATCCATAGAGCTGATTGTATTGATTCTTTCACTCATCCATGAATTACCAATTCGAAGAACAGACAATATCATAGAGTTCCAGAGCTGAACAAAGCAGAGATGTCCGCCAGAATACACGCAGGTCCTTCATAATGTACTTTTCTTTGGTTGGATTGAAGGCTGTATAACACTTACGGTGCCATCTGTGTGGACTTAATTTCCATCGCGTATTCCCATTTCCCCCACTTCATTTTGGATAAAGTTACTCTTCTCTCACTCTCACTCTGTGCAACTGACTTAAACAGTGATCCGTTGTGACTATTAGTAATCTAACGGAACAATTATTCCCCACGGATATTCACGCCGCATTCATCGAAGCAATAATACAGTGAGAAAAAACAATGCTCTTTCTGTCTACAAATTCACGGTCTTCTCCGATGAAGGTCCTTGTCCACACACTCACAAACGCGTAAATCCACGAGAGTTTTCATCCAATTTGGTCACAGAGGTGAGTACAGCGGCCGTGATACCTGCAGGTGCAAAACTCACCCATTTGATAGCAATGAACAGGGGATTTGAGAACTGAAAATCACCCCGCTGGGAAGAGTACAAAGTGTGCAATTTTAATGAGATTTCTCACAAACACCGCCATCTGAACTGAGCAATAATTAACGAGAACTCCGCTGCCTCCTTACCGACAGTGCTTTTTGTTAAATATTTCCCCGTCTACAAGTCACTTGATACTCACCAGTCATGCAGGAATCATTGAGAAATACTACCTACCATGGATGACTCTAACCGCTACTTACTGGTAGCCCAATACGCTTTACACGAGACTCGGTAACACAGAGTAGTGACGGATGGGACTCCAAATGTTAACAGTACAATCATTACCATGGTCGTTCTGAGGACCACTACTTTGTACTTATCTAGCGACGGGACGAAATGCGGTCAATACCAAGTGAAATCACATAAAATTTGTCTCGTCACGTGGTATACTCATGACCGCAGGAGTTGGTGTCTGAACCAGCGCTTTGTAAGTATAACGATCATGCTTGCCTTGGCCGTTGCTCACGTTTTGGTCCGAATGGCCTGATGACCTGCGATGTTTGGGCTCTGAGTGTCACAGCACAAACTGAATTATTATCTGACTGTTCTCAATTCTGTCCCAGATGAACAAAAATGAAAATTGGGTTAAACCTGAGACTTTCAAATCTGCCTCTCTTGATGTGCTTGAATAACTGCCCTGATCTATAGATTTATGAAAAAAGAAAATGTTGTTTCATTGTTAGACGTGAGCTTACTAGGTCAATTTACGCCATCCGTTGACTGGTGAGGTAGAAAACACAAAACACTGTTTGCATACATTGAATGTTGCCTTCACAGAGGTACCAATAGTCCTACTCAGAATTTTGGTTCAAGAATTTCTCCTAAAGATAAGTTGAGTTCATCGTTTTATACTATTTCCAGGTATGCGAACTGCGTTTGCTCGTCCAGCTTTGTTACGGCCAATATGTATTTCATGCTAGTCCTCGGCAAAACGGTTGTTCGTCTTCAAATTGCACACAAGCGTTCATTCAGTCGAAATTTCACATCAGCGGGCTCAATAGATCCACGGGAATCATTCAGTGGGTAAATTGATGCCGGTCGTAAACCATCGATTTTTCGATACTTTGAAAGTAATTGGGATCCCAACCGTTACATCGTGTCGATGAAGTACTCTCCAGAAATCGTCTTTGCTAGAAAAGCTACAAGAAACAGTCTCGTTTTGGATCGCATTCACAGTAAATTTCAATACGGTCTTTGGTTACTTCAATTAGGTTACTTTCAATTAAGTTCATGATTTCATCCGATGGATAAGATATACAAATACCATTTCTGTTTATATTAACATTTTGCAGAACATGCATGCACATCAATGACGGATTACTCATCCAGAGAAAATTAAGCAGATAGAGGAACAGTTTGCAAAGCAGACAGACGGACAGACAGACAGACAGACAGACAGATCTGATCAGTTTGAGAGAAATTAATTGACTCGAAGGGCGATTCAATGCATTCTCGAAAGTTTTGTTTCGTTCCATTGTTTCTGCTTAGAAATAAGCACTCAAAGCCCAGTTTTCTATTTCATTTTGAAGATTCACTAAAGGAGAGCGGTCACGTGATGGAAATAGACAGATAGAAACTACTATCAATGAGTAATATTGTCATCCATCCGCGACTATTCGTGCAGTTTGTCATGCCCCGAGTCGTGGATTGACTGACACCAAACCGTAATTTACTACCTACCCTGCACCACGATAACCTCAACTCGCCTCAACCGCGGTGGTGCAGAAAATGCTTCACGAGTGACAGTTCCATTTTCGACACTATTTTGACAATGTTTGTCTGTCTGTCTCTTCGCTTTCAATTATGCATGCCTTCCAACATACCGGGTAGTATAAAAAACAACGATTTTGGTAACCAAAGTCGTTTGGAGGTAGAGAATGATTGTGCCCTGCTCTTTTCACGAATACCTAATGATTTGTCTAGTCCTAGGGACACATATATTGTTAAACCCAAACTCTTGCAAGTGATCATTGAAACCGATTGACTTATAGTATTCCACCCTAGTTAATAGTTCAACGGTTTGCCTTAATTCCCTCCAGTGGGCCACGTCAGCTGTCTATCCAATACTTTTTAATACTTCAAACATAACCATATTCCATTATTTTAGGGAAGAAATATGTACTTTACCTCGGCCGCTTTTTCAGTAGACGTTAGGTGCTGAACTTGAAAGTGTGTTTACCTTGTAACTGAAAAGGCGATTCGCGTAAACATTTAGAGTT